TCGTTGCGCCAGATGCCGCTGAACTACAACTCCCAGCAACCTCAGTTAGCAGGTTCAATAGCGAAGGGTTTGGGGAGTTATAGTTCAGCGACGTTTGGCAATCTCACAGGTTAGTGATTACTCCTGTTTGTAATTTACATTACGCTACCTGCTTGCTAGCTATCCTTAACTGAACCATAATATATTGAAGTAATAGGTAAAAGAATTGCCATGCTAATTGATAATGTATCCTGAAATCTGTTAACTCTTAGCAACCACAGAAATAGATTTTCTTCATAGAAGATCTGTCCCTAACCTGATCCTTCCCATTCTTTCCATGGTGCATCCATTGCAACTGTCATTGAGTCCATCCACTTTGCTGGTGGTCTTTCTCCTCTTTCCTTGCACCTTTCCCAACATTAAACCCTTCTCCAGACAGCTGGTTTTATCATTTTCATTACTATTGTTATAAACTAGCAATTATGATTTAATGTGTTGCAGGAACTGCACCAATTATTTTGCTCAGTAAAACATGATTCAACTATCCAGAATTTAGCATGCTGAGTAAGCACAGCTTTTCACTCATCGTTTAGGGTAAAATAAACTCTATAAGTAATTTTTGGCTCTATAGGGAGTTCTCGACTTACAACCACAATTGAGCCCAACATTTCTGTTGTTAAGTGAGACATTTGTTAAATGAATTTTGCCCCATTTTATGACTTTTCCTGCCACAGTTGTTAACTGAATCGCTGCAGTTGATGAGTTAGTAACCCAGTTGTTAAGTGAATCTGGCTTCCCCATTGACTTTGCTTGTTAGAAGGTCACAAGAGGTGATCACATGACCTTGAGTCAGAGAAATGGTCATAAATATGAACCAGTTACCAATCAGCTGAATTTTGATCACATGATCATGAGGATCCTGCAAAACTGTAACTGTGAAAAAGGGCCATAAGTCACATTTTTCAGTGTTATTGTAACTTTGAACTGTCACTAAATGAACTGTTGTAAGTCAAAGACTACCTTTATTTATATGAAAGCTATCAAACTTTCCCCTACTTATTCAGTACTAGAAAAATGATGCTGATAAATAAGGAAGCCTTTTAACCATTCAGTCAGCAGGTGGCAGCAGCAGTCCAATTTTGGCTATGTCCAGAAAAAAAAATCCAAGCCAGTGGATTAGATTGGTTTGACAGTAAACATTGGTGAAGAATGCAACCCCAAGCCATATTCATATGTCAAGCAAACTACATGGACTTGTCCAGTGCTTTTTTTTTTTGTAAAAAAAAAAAAAAAGTGCCGGAACTCACACATGTCATACAACCCGCCTTGCCTACCCTACAAGGTTTCATCCAAAAAAGGTGCCGGAACTCCGTTCTGGGCGTTCTATGACAAAAAAAGCCCTGGACTTGTCTATGAAATCAGGAATTGACCTTGACCTGAATGAGACTTGTTATTACTTTAATGAGTTGTGAAAATCATGTTTTTCTCTAAAAGCCCCTGGTAATCAACTTATACAAGAAAAGGATAGCTGAATTATAGCTTTGTGATTTCATTAACAGAAAAAGATTTAATTAAATGAATTAATTGTTTTAAACAATTATTTTATTTAATAATCTATAATGTAATTAGGTATTCAGATCACAAAGAAAATAAGATATTTAGGGATATATTTAACAGCTAGGTGTGTAACAATTAAAAGAGACAATTATGACAAATTAATGGATCAGATTAAAACAGACTTGGGCACCTGGACAAATCTTCAGCTTTCTTTCATGGGTAGAATTGCCATAATTAAAATGAACATATTACCTAAAATATTATTCCTATTTCAATGTATACCAATTAGATTAGAAAAGGAATTTTTTCGAAATTTCAATCAAACTATACTTAAATTCATTTGGCAAGGGAAAAAACCAAGGATTAAATTAAAATTATTACAGGATGTTAAGGAAAGGGGGGGTTTTGGCCTTCCCGATCTGGAAAAATA